GAATAGAAGTAAATACAGAATAGGTCCAAGTGATAGCTTTTATCTATTGCAAATACAATTTGATGTAACAGATGAGAGGGGAACATATGTCTTTCTGATGAAGAATAAAAGGAGAGTGAAGTGAAATGATTGTGCCCACGTTTACAGCAAATCACCTGAAGTGGTCAACTTTTGTGCCTCAATGGAAGGATATAAACTGTTTTAAATTGCTACCACCGTGCAGATTGAATGACTTTAATTATGAATGGTGGAGCAGAGCCAAGTTTTCTTTGTTAGAATGAAAAAAAGGTCAATTTTTGAGCCCGTCTATTTCAAATTCACTTTCCATTGAGCGAATGGTAGCCCATTTTTTTGTGATGCAGATCGGCGGGTGTTTAATTAACTTTCTCGTGAGTTTGCAGAAAAGAAATCCTGTATTATAATCTAGGTGCTCCCCGTGGAGCATTCGGCTAGAGCACAGCAGAGACAATGGGATTAGTTTTCTTAGAAAACTGCGGCCGGAGGTCATGCAGTTTATTCCAGTGTGATGCATGGCAAAGCCACTTAGCTTCGCTGGCTTTCGCTGACAATAAATGAAATGAACCATGCCAACGGGGGAGCACAATAGGGAGCGGATCGATATCTATGCCTAAATGGTGTTTCATTTTGAAGAGAGGTCCATTTTTTAGCCAGTTTTTTTTAAAAACAACCCAGAAATATAAAAGTCAGAGAAGCTACTGTTATATTACTGGGGCTGCATCTGCAGGACAACAAAATGTGACGTTTCATAACAGATTCAATGAAATGTGGCATTTCTTTCACTTCTTCATGCTTCTGCTTCTGATGCTCCCCCTCACTTGCTTCTTTCATGGCCTGTCTCAAGACTTTCCTCTTTGATCGTGCTTTCGGCCACAATCACAACACCCCCCTCACCCCCCCAATGTCCTTCCCTCTTGATTCCAACACCCAGCTTGGGGTGCAATCCTTTAACTGTTCAGAGCCTTGGGATGTCCCTCCGATGTGAAAGGCACTTACAGTCACCTCCTCCCTCCCCCTGGCTTGGCGTCAGGCTCTGTCACTGTTAAGCGCTCCAAGACGCTGACCTGCATGGAAGGGCGCTGTACAAAATGCAAGTTGTTGTTGTGATATAAATGTCATTTGTTGTTGTTGTTGTTGATTAGTGTTGGGAGTTGATTAGTCTGGGTATTTGCATTGACAGATAATACATGAAGTGGGCTTCACAGTATAAGCAGGCGGGGTAGCGGCAAAGTGTTGGGAGCTTTGATTTCCAGATGCTTTCTTTGTGTTTGTCTTTGCTGGAATAAAGAAAACAGCCCTTGGCTAGCAGAGTAAAGGATTGCTGTTTTAGTTGAAGGAAAAATGCTGAGCAAAGAACTTCAGAAAGCGTGGGCATTAGCAGATAAAGCAAAGATTACAAGCTCACTTCTCATTCTTGTTTGAAATGCTCACAGTGCCAACATTCTGTTGTCTGCATAGCACCATGAATAGTAGACGAGGCAAGTAATTAGTTGGCTTTGGGTATCTTTTTTACCCTGGAATCTAGGGATAAGGTTTTTACAGCTGAATTCAAATCATAACAGACTCCACAAATTTTCTTCGGATGAAACGATCAACCAAGGTCTCATCTGCCTGTTCAGGTGGACATTAAAGATCCACGGCACTACTCAAAAAGAGAAGGGAGCTTCTCCCAGTGGCAAGGCCAATTCCTATTCGCATTCCAAATGAAAGATAAATTGGCCATTTGCTTCATGGCTGTTTGTGGGATATTGCTGCGTGCAAATTAGCTGCTGCGTTCGCCTATAAAATGCTACACTTTACAGTTTATCCTGTATACCTTTGACTGTCATTTTTCCCCTCCCCGTGTCCCTTGACTCCCACCTGCAGTTCGGATGTTACTGCAGTGTCAACAAACTTCTCAATATTTTTTCCCCCTCCCCACGCTTTTATTTTTTTGAATCTGGACAAGTCTTTGGTTTTAGCAGAATACTGTACACTTCAAAGAAATCTCTATTCCCAAAAGGACAGAAGGCACAAAAATCATCAAAGCTATATCTGACATGAATATTCTCTTACTTCTTTTGAAATGTTAAGTGTAGAGAAGAAATCATGACCACACCACCTCCATATCTTTTGTACTCGATGTTTATTAGCGACACAAAAGAAGCAGATTTGCAACAAGTGCTTCAGGTTTAATAAAATAATAAATCCTTGTACTTGATTGATACTGTGCCTTTCACAAGGACATCAAGAGGATGTCTCAAAGTGTATTCACTGTGTATTTTGTAGGCAACTCTGCAGCCAATTTGCGCAAAGCAATACCTCACAACCAGCCAGGAGATGAATGAGCCATTTTACCTGGGGGATTATTGGCCAGGACACTGGGAGAAATTCTCTTCTCTTTTCAAATCGTGCCATGGGTTCTTTTAACGTCCCCACCTGAACAAGCAGACGACACTTCGGTGTAATGCCTGGTTTGAAGATGTGATTTAACTAGGGACTATAAGGGAGTTGAATTGCCATGCATATTTAAAATGGCACTGCAAAGCATCCAATTGGCTCAGTTATTCAAGTCTAGTCTGCCTAGAATCAATACCTTAGGCAAGTTTTCTTACTCTAGTAGCCTCTGTTTACCTAATAGTAAGTAGGAACCCGGTTGATTGGCGTTCACTTTCCAGGGTAATAATTGCTCTGGAAAAATAACATTTTTGACACTAAATCCATGACTATTTGTGGAACACTGCTGTGTGTAATTGGCTGCCATGTTCACCCATACAATACAGTCTTTACAATATATTCTGTGAAGCATTTTGAGACATCTTAACAAAGTGATAAGGTGGTAAATCAAATGCAAAGATTATTATTTTTATTGATCCCTCTTCCTTAAATCCGATTGATAGAAGAATTGCTGATAATCAAAGTGAATCCAGAGCAAAGGATTTCAGGAGATGAGAAAATTAAGGTTATAATATAGTAACAAAGCTTGACGGAGATGAAGGCAGCAACGGAGGAATGTCCCTGTGGAAGAGGAATGCACTAGAGGCAGATGTTATTAAAAGAATACCAATAAAACCAGATTTATAACTGCAAATTGGCACAGAAACACTGTGGGCTTTGTTTTACTGATGGGCAATCTGTAGATCAAGTAGCAGACAGTGATGTGATGAGATTGCTGTACTCCACACTTCAGTTTCAGCCAAGATAAGGCGGCTGTAACAAGATCTGTGATATGATAGGATTCCTTTCTCCACAGTTCTCAGGCTGACTTAGTCCTGAGTAAAGTAGTGGCCTGTTTGCCAAGTGGGAACATTTCTCTGGCTGTGTGGCTGCCTCTCTCCTCCCCCCCTCGCCACCATTTGTGTTCTACGTTTCATAAGTTTTGAAGAAGTTTCTATTTTTATGCTGACCCAAGTTAATAATAATCCTTATTACGTCTTCGAGTCATCTTGAAGCACTTCATGGGACATACTACAAAGTGTAGTGACTGTGTATGTTATAAAGTGAGCGTGACAGCCTATTTGCACACAGCAATGTCCCGTAACAGCCATGAAGTGAAAGACCAATTTCATCTGGGGGATTGTTGGCCAGGATACCAGAAAAAACTTCCCAGCAGTGTCACTGCGATCTTTAATGTCCATCAGAATAGGCAGATGGGACCTCTGTTTAGCTTCTCTTCTGAATAATGGTACCCCCGACAATGCAGGTTATCCCCAGCACTGCACTGGAGTGCCAGCCTAGGCTGTGAGCTCAAAGTCTTGACATGTAGCTTAAAATGTTAGGCATAATCGTAACTTGAATGTTATCACCATAATATAATAATAATCCCTCCTTGCATTTGATATAGCGCTTTTCACGTTTTCTAGACATCTCAAAGCATTTCACAGAATATGCTGTAAAGTGAATTGACCGGATATTTGTGGGCGAAACGCGGCAGCCAATTGCGCACAGCAGTGTCCCATAAACAGTCGTGGATTGAAAATGATCAATTTATTATTATTTTTTGTTTTGGAAGGATTATTATTAGGTGTGTGGAGTAAGGAAACTTGCCCAAGGTTTCGCCCTGCCTGGAATTGAACCCAGGTGTTTTGCTTGCAAGGCGAGTGCTCTAACCACTGAGCTACAGGACGCCACATAAGGAAGAAGGTGGAAGTTGGTTGAATTTTTGCCCGCAACAGACGCTGAACTCATTTAAGAAACTGCTTGATACGTTGATATGGGACAGTGGGTATTCAGGAACGATGAGATAACGTGGCTGAAGAGGTTTCTCTTTTTCCTTGTGAGAGGGCTTCAGTGCAATCCGCTGCACCAACTCAGTCTCTTTCATTTTAAGCGGGTGGTCAAGAGCAATATTAATTCAATTCCTAAACTTGCCCTTTGCAACTTTAAACCTAGGTCCTTTCCTGTGGGTAAGCTCCCCCACCTCCCCAAACTTTGTTGCAATGCTTGTTCCAAATTTACAATAGGAGTTACTTTTACTTTCTCAATTTAAACATTTATACATACCCTATAATGGTCCCCTCGGAGTTGTCTCCTTTCAAGACTGAACCCACTACCTGCTTGTCCCTTGTGCCTTCTGATCCACCACCTGTGGCGTATTTTCAGTCACTACGCCCAGAAACTCTGGAACTCTCTCCCTCAATTCTTGTGCCTTGCCCCATCCTTCCTCATTTTCAGACCTTCCTCTTCGACCGTGCCTATTGATATCTCCCCCACCTGGCTTGGCATCATGCTCCACCACTGTCAAGCGCTCTGGGACGCTGCCCTGCGTGAGGGGCGCTATATAAATGTAAGTGCTTGTTGTTATTGATGTTGAAGAACCATGTGTTCCTCTGAGCCGGTTACAGGAAGGTGCTGACTGCTGGTAAAGCAGAACCCTCTGTGCAGATTGGTCAGGCTCTCTGGATTGCTGATCACTTTTCTTTGAAGTTTATTTATAATCACAAAGACATTTATTCTGTAGAAACTAACTGGTTTCCTCCTCTTCCTTTTCTGTCTCTTTTCAGTTAGAAGCTGGCTGGAAAAAATCAAAGACAAAGTAAGTGCCTAAGACCTTTTTACCCTGCATGTGATCTATTCACCTGAACTGTGCTTTGGTTCGAAGTACTGTTTTGCCGAACATGCTTTAATACCGTATTACTGTGACCTGTCTTAAGATTTTAAAGTAAGTCATCTCTGCTTTCTCTCTTTCATTGTTATCTTTCTAATTCCAATGTAATTTGACCAACAATCTTTCCTTATTATTCTGCATTTCTTTTGTCTTTGCCTTTTACGCTCAATTGGTTTATGGTCTGCTTGTTGCAGGCTTTTCATTTGTGACTTGTGTTTCAATGTGGTGCTTCGGACTTGCACGTTTGCATCCCATGATTTATGTGAAGCTTTGGTTAGTTCCCTTCCATGGGCATGAAGTCCTGCAAATTTTATTCAGCACCAGAACTCAGCCGATGATGAGGCTATGTCTTGTTTCCTTGCTCGTGACACAAGTATCTTTAACCTCTATCATGTTGTTATTGCAGGCAGGTTACATGTCTGGGATGCTGGTGCCTGTGGGTGTAGGAGTGACTGGGGCCCTCTTTATCCTGGGAGCTCTCTACAGCCTCAAGGTGATGAATCGGAGGAGAAAAAACGGTTTCAAAAGACGTGAGGCAAAGGTAAATAAGCTCATGAAACCTGCAACGTACCCCCTATCTCTGCATTCTTTACAGTTCCGCTCGGTCTTATGCTAACTGATCCTCAGAGCTGCCAAACTCTTTGTGTAGATCTACAAGGTTCCAGTCAGGATGACATAGGAAGTTATTCTGCCCCATGCACTCCCTGGAGAGTTTGTTATTGTGCTTTGAACTCTATGCTACTTCATTTAGCAAACATTGCAAATTTGATGTGATTAGAAATATCGTTAAAACAATATTACATATAAGCATTGAATGCAGCATTTAGAATGTATTAATACTTGGAAGCTACAATTGTGTTCCATTCACTTTCGAATCATTCAATATCTTAAATTCTCATTATTCACATGCGAGGCCTGACAGGGAGCGTTGACAAACTATTTGGGATGAATGTGGTTTGTTTCATTGGAGGAGCTGGTGCTGGCATAAGCAAAATGATCTCAATGGCTTCCCTCTGGGCTGTAACTCCAATGGTTCTGTAGGGTTTAATTTGGGAATAATTCTTTACGGGATTCCTTCATAAGGAATCCTGGTAGAATTGCCATAGACGTTCATCAGAGCGGAGTTCCCATGGGTCAACTTGTCAGACTTCTGGTTAACAGAAGCAATTCCCTGTTTGAGTGATTCAAATACCTTATTAAGGAACCCGACTAAGAATTTGAACCCTGATCTGTACTGTGTTATTGAAAAGACTTGAGGTCAATGTAAAAGCGGAGAAAGTTGACCCTAATTTCTTATCACCGTCAGACAAACCATGCGCGCTTTTAACTGGAAGTTTAAACTAAAACACTCCTTTCCCTCTGCTGTCGCTCTTATGATGAGAATAAAAATAAAATGTCCTTGGTTCAAACTGAGACTCTCCGCAGACTGTCAGTTGGGCCCTTGCTCCAGCCTCAGATGTGTTTTGTGCAGCATTATAATGCAGGATCAAGCTCCTGTGTAATTACAAGGAGCTGCAAATCCAGACACTCTCTTTTGACTATCCTCCTTGGAGTGTGGACTGGTGGTGGGGGAGTGGGGGAGGAGGTGAGATTCAAACAGAATACTTTTCCAGTGACAGAGATTTGAAGAAATGAAGGAGAATGCTAAATTTATTATAACTGATAGTGAGAGAGTGAACGTGGAGGACAATTTATAGGGAGTTAAGATCATACAGTGGGAAACAGCAGTGTAGCATTTGCTGAGATGGATTCCAAATCCCCGACTAACAGCAGCACAATAAATCACTGCCTTATTTCAGTAAATAATCTGAACTCAGAACCTGAAAACTACCAGTGTAACGTTTCGATCATACGTTAGTGTAAAAGATATCCCACATTAATCAGGTGTATGTAACCCTAGAGTGGATAATGTGGCCTGTGGCCAGGTTATAGCAACAACTAACAGACCTATGCCAGAACAGCAGAAATGTTGCAACTGCAGACCTATTAACATTGGTTACTGGCATTGTTTATAAACTACAAAATTATGCCCATTATTTTCTGCTGAGGATGCACAGAGCTGGTCTGAATTTTCTTGCTTGGGGTGCTGCCACAAATAGGATGTGAGAGTCTGTCTGATTGCATTTGTTAAGATTCTAAAGGCACTGGATACTGTTGACCACGATAAGCTGTTTTATCTTGTTCAGAACAGTAGAACCAGAGGACAGAGCCTGCGCTTGAAGGGAGCTAAATTCAAAAGAAATCTGAGGAAACACTAATTTCAGTGAGCGAGTAGTAAATCGATGGAACAGGCTCCCTAGGGAGACGGTGAAAGCAGAAAGTGTTGATTCTTTCAAAAGCAAATAAGACAAGATTTCTTTTAGGAAATAAAATGTTGGGACACAGTATATAGTTTGGGACATGACATGTGCATGCGACTGCCAGGATGGTGGAACGAGTACTGGATGGACCTTGGTCTTCTTTCGTCTAGCAATTCTTATGTTCAAATTGGCTTTCGGCCAGGCTTTTGCTGCACTTGTATTTAACTCCCCTCCTTCTCCAATTTTACATTGTAATATTTGAAACAAAAAGCACGCAAATAGATTCAAATAAAATGAACCTCGGGGCTGGAGGGTGTTAGTGAGAGTGTGAGGTTGGGGAGTGTTAGTGATGGATAATAACAATAACAACAACAAATTGCATTTAAATAGCGTCTTTCACGTCGGGAGAACATCCCAAAGCTGAACACCCAGGGATTTGGGCAGACGGTGTGAGGTTGGAGTGTATTAACGAGAGTGTGAATGACAGTAATAATTGCAGTGTGTGAGCTGAAAATGTACAGAACAGGTCATTCCACATAGACTGGAGAGTGTTCACAGAGATGCCATCAATTCATGGATTGATTCATTTGGGCTGTACGTTCTGTTCTAAACATTTTCCCTGACTATAATAGAAAGCAACTATTAGTACAATTTGTCTTGCTGTTGAAATAAACTCGTTGGCTACTTAGCTATTCTGGAGAAGGATGAAGCACCTGGGTATCAACTCACCTATATTTATAATTTACAGAACTGCAGCCAATTCTTCAAAAATTTCCAGAGATTTCGACACAGACTATTCCTGGGAGCTAATTGTCATCTGCCAGTCCCTAGATAGACACATTACCTGCTGGGTGTATTCTCCACTGCTTTGTCTTGTTGGCTGCAGATAAATTGGGAATCGAATTGGGATACTTAAAAAGAGCAGTGGACGGATAGTTGGACAATGTTGAGAGATTTGACAAAAAGGTGGCCAAATGGGTTTGAAAAAAATCTGCCATTAGTTTAATAAGATTGTGGAACAGCCTTGATGGGCTGGGTGTCTTACTTCAGTTCCTATGTTTCTATGTGAAGTTTGTAGGTCAGCTCCCAGGCTGGTTCAAAGCATCCATCCCATTTAAGGCAAACGGACCTATTCCAGGATTCACATGGTTTCTCCTGGAGTGGCCAGGAGCAGGAGGAGGCAGGTATCAAGATTGTTTAACGATCAAGGAAATTGCAGCAAAGTCAAAAAAGCCACAGAATTAGATAGAAGAACAACAACTTGCATTTATGCAGTGCCCCTCATGCAGGGTAGCATCTCAGAGCGCTTCGGTAACATCCCAGGGTTGCATCCCAGAATGATACAGCATGGAAACAAGTCATTCAGCTCAGCCAATCCATTATAGTGTTTATACTTTACACGAGCCTCCAACCCTCTTCTCCCCTCTATTCTCTTTCCCCTCATGTATGTACTAAATCGCCTCTTAAATACATTGACAACAGTGTGAGGTTGGATTGTGTGTTAACAACAGTGACTGGTTAGCGTTAGTGTCTGCTTATATCTCTCCTTATCGTCGCTGGGAGGAGCACTTTGAACAGAAGGACATTCCTGCCCCTTTAAGAATTTCCATTAAAAAAATCCACCTCCCTTAGCGAATTACACCTGAATTTATTTAAAATGAATCTACAGATTTTTTGGAGGGAGGAATTGATCTTTACTGATGTTTGACCGACTCACGTACAATGGCTTTGTCGGTAAGTGTGGGGGTAACCTGTTTGCTTTTGTGTGAATGAATGTTGCAGGATAGAGTCCCAGCGATTGATATTTTTGTTTTAAATTGCAGCCCAGGGATTTCACCAGTATGCAGGATCGGGTGATGCTATTAGCTGACAGTTCAGAAGATGAATTTTAAAGAGGAGGAACTAGCCTTTGATGTGGTACTAATGGCTGAAGCTGCACTGGAGTCAGGGGAATGTGGGAATCAACGCTTCTTGCTACTTGCTGCTATTTCTGTTTCCAGTGTATTTTTTTCTCTCTCTTTCTTTCAGTGTTGAAAGATTACTGTGGTCACGGATGTTCGTTGTGCGATATATTATAAAGCATTGTTTTAATGGTGATATTCAGATTTATTTCACAGGAACGATCAGGTCTGTCTTTCTCGCTTGCTCTCTCTTGATTTCACTGTATATCCACTCTGGAGATTTGGAATAAACAGGCATCGTAACATCATGTTGCTAGGACGAATAGTTTATGAGTTGTTGTAATTCGAAGATTGCAAATTTTTTTGTTACAAATGCTCTTGTTTTTACTGTTAGTGACCATGATAGCAATAACCCAAAGGGTGATGGGATTTCCTGAAACAGTCTTAAACAGGCGGGGTTTCAATGTTCTTTAACAAAAAAGACCTTCTTCACCCATTCCCATTCGTATTTCCGCAAAGCACAGAATTGACGCTGTAGATTATTTCCTTTGAAGTGCGCTACTATATCAACGCAGGGAGCAATGAAGCAAACTGTTGCTGTTCGCAGACTCGAGAGTCTTCAGCAGTAGATGAGCTGAGAGGGCCAGCACACACAGCATTGTTCACAAGTGAATATGCTCTACTTAGAACATGGTTGAGAAAAAATTCCTTATTAGCTTATTAGCTTTTTAAGAAGAAATTAGATAATTATCTGAAAAAACAGAAATGTGAAAGAGTAATGGAAGGGAAGGCATGAGAGTGGGATTAAACAGATACCTCATTCAGAGAATCAGCAACCATAAACAACAACATCAACACATTGCATTTATACAGCGCCTTTCAGGTCAGGAGGACATCCCAAAGTGTTGGACAATGAAGGGTTTGCACCCGAGCTGCTGGATGGGATCAGAGAGGGGTGGATGGCAAGGGGAGAAGGGTGGAGGAGGGAAGATGACCGAAGGCACGGTCAAAAAGGAAGACGGGCATTGAAGGAAGCAAGGGAGGGGACGAAGCAGAGGAGTTCCAGATGGTGGGGGCAGAAAGGCTGAAGGCTCGACCACTGATAGTGGACCAGTCAGGGTGTGGGGGAACGTGGAGTAGGCCAGTGGTTGGTAAAGTTTTAAAAGGCACGGACACGATAGTTCTTTGCACTTGTGGGAGGTAGGTTTACTGTACTCTGAATGATAATTGTGCCTCAGTGCCACATCTAAGATTAAAATTGTCCCTCCACAGCGGAGAGATTTGTATTACAACCGTTATCAGCTCAGCTCATTTTCAGGAGGAGATGCTGTCCATCTTCCACACACCAGAGACCTGAAAATCCCCTCTTCTTAATAATAAATCATTATTTCTTATTGCATTGGCGATTTTGTACAACAATGTTAATTCCCTTAGCCTCAGTAATTGTTTTTGTAACATGGAGACATACCAAATGAATTCACAAAATTGTCCAAACATGACTACTTTGAGTCTATGTACAGACAGGTTGTGCCAGTTCAAACCAACAACAACAACTTGCATTTATATAGCACCCTTCATGCGGGGTAGCGTCCCAGAGCGCTTTAAACCATTTTAATTTCACTGGTGGCAGTCTCTTTAAATAAATACAGCAACCGTGTGTAAATGGTAGAACTGTCTTGGACATTCACAATGCCATTCTTGGCATTGCATTGTTACATAGAATCTACAGCAGCCAAACATGTCATTCAGCCCAGCTTGTCCGTGACGGTGTTAATAATCCGCATGAGCTTCCATCCATCCTAATCCCCACCCTCCTCAGCTTCACCCACATAACCCCTCAATTCCTTGCTCTAGTATTCAGTGCTTGCGGACGCCAGGACAAGAGTGATCTGTGCGCTCACTCTTTTCGGAACTGGTGACTTTTGCTGAAGCAACAGCAATAAAAGTAGCAGTCGGAGATTTCTGAAGATGACAATTATTTGGTTGTGATTTCTGGAAGGTGGTGGGGAAGGGAATGGACAAGAAGTAAGGAAAGTTGGTGGGGCAGTTGGTAGTCCACTCCTTCGCTCTTAGTCTATTGTTTAACAAGAAGAAATCCTGGGAAAGCACAGCAGGTAAAAGAGCATCTGAAACAAAGACTTGAGTAATATTCCGATGCAAGTCTGTTGGTTCAGTCGTGATTGTAAGCCTAATCCCTAGCAGTCTTGTCTAATGCCTGATAATTTCAAATCAAAAGGCTTTGAAAAAAGCACAGGACACAGGGAGCTTTGGCGTTCATTCTGCTTGCTGCTTTGGGAGGATGGCTTTTCACTAACTGTGAGTTGAGACCTGCTCGGCTTCTGAAGGAAGTATAATTAAAAGATGAAACTAATGATAGAAGCGACCGACCGCACAGAAAAGAACACACAAGTAATTTGTGAGCAATTCCCTTGCTTTGTTCAGACAGACATTCTGAGGCATGTTCATCTTGAACACATCTCCTGTGCTGCTCCCTGTGCCAATCGGAGGTCTGAAATTCCTCTTGGCCTGAGCTCAATACTTTCCTCCTCTTTTCCTTCTTGTGGGTACAAGCCTCGACGGTTGTTTGTCCCTCCAATTGTCCCTCGTGCCCTCCTTTCCACCATCGGCGGCCACACTTTCAGCCACTACCCCGAAACGCTGGAACACTTTCCCTCAATTCCCTTCGCCTTGCCCCTTTCTTCCACATCACGCCTGAAAATCTTCCTCTTCGACTGTGCTTAGTCACTTCCCTTGCCTAAGCGTCAGGCACTCTTGAGACGCTACTCTACGTGAGGAGTGCTATATAAATGCAAGTTGTTGTTGCGGTGTGGTTGACAAGCATGAACAGCTATCAAAGGTTCATCATGTAAACCCAGGGCAATGTTGAGGCAGCAAAACAAGAGGGCACAAATTCAGGGTTGAAGAGGGCAACTTCAGGCAGACACCAGGAAGTATTTCTTTGCCCAGAGGGTAATTCACGACTGGAACCGGAGGTACCAGGAAGGATGGAAGAGGCCAGGATGACATACTCCTTTAAGAAACAGCATGGTGTTGTGATGGGAGTTTGATGGGTATTGAAAGGATCAGATCAGATGAGTTGAATGTGTCTATGCTAGTGATTAGTGCAAATTAATCATGCCTTTAATTGGCAGCTCGGGTGCAAACCCCTCATTATCCATCCACTACCTGAATAAAGACTGTTTGCAGGAAAAAAGGAAGGTCACTGTTTATCCATGGTTTACATATAGGAGAATAGTTGCCTGAGAAGCAAAAATTCAATTCAGCATGATATGGTCCTGATCAGACAAGAATAATCTATGTTATTGCATTCCATCGACAAATCAATAGAGTGATTTTTACAATAAACCGCAGTTTAATACCTAGACACAGCCTCTGTGATAAGTGCTCACACCCTGCCTTTGCGAAAACCAATTGTACAGTCTGCATTCTTAGCTCTTTCCACGTGCATTTGACATGTTATGATTTTAACCTGAAGAACAATCATCGGTGTATGTTAAGTGTGGAATGCGGAAGTTCATTTGATTAAAACGTTATGAAATAAAAAGCTGCTGTCTGAATTTTATTGCCGTGTCGCATCCCGAATTAAAAAGACTTCACCATTCTCGGTTGGCATCTCTCGTGTATTTTGGTCGGGTGACACAACCTTTAACAAATTTGTGGTTGAAGTGGATTTCAAATAAGATGTTTAATGTGAGGTGTAATCTGGAATGCAATGCAAATAAAATAGAGACTGTAAGTGGTTGCTGTCCTGATGCTATCGTTCTTTTCATCTCAGTGGATCTTGTCTTTATGGAGATGACTATTTCTGTATCAGTTCATGTGTGTTCCCCTCACAATGTCTGTGTCATTCTGGGTGTTCCCCTAACTGTGTCTGTGTCACTCTGTGTGTGCATCCTTCTGACCGTGCCTGTGTCATTCTGTGTGTTCCCTCTCACTGTGTCTGTGTCATTTCATGTGTCTCCCTCCTAGCTACTTTACAGCTGTCAAAAGCAAAGCACAATCCAAGAACTGCCAAAATGTTTTCTCTTTTAAGCACATCGATGTCACCATTTCAATTTCCACTCCACAGGTTTTTATAAAATAATAATGATAATTACATTTGATACAGCGCCTTTCATATGAGGAGGGCATCTCAAGGCGCTCCATGGGATTTATTGTAAAATGTAGGAGTGTGCATGTGTTTTTTATGCTGCGATCACCCTCCTCTCAGCCATCAATGGCCTGCATTGGCAGTCGCAAACCAGGACGCCCGAGAGATGAGCGATCTCTCAATTGCCGAGCTCTTTTTCCTTCCCTTTCTTTACAATCTCAGATTACCATCCAAACCCTAGAATCTTAATGCTGCTGAGGCCAGGACTCTTGCTGTTATGCAAGATGTTGAGAGAAGTTGTGGAGAGAGAGAGAGAGCTCCGTGGCAGAAATGAGTTTCTAATTAAAATTGGAATCCTAGTAATAATTATTTTCAATGCTGCGTGAGACGTTGACCTACATTCTGGCAGGAATTGCACTTCCAAAGGTAAAATACATAATTTAGTCCATTCTTATCTCTTTATGTAGGGGATTGAACAAATATATTAACATCATTACTTGCTATCCCCAAAGTAATAGCTCATAAACTCAAGGTTAATAATACCGTAGACTATTACTCTTAATCTTTGCACATAAATTGTTCGTTGTTGAAATAGAATCTGTAAATTCCTTGAAAAGAGATTTATAGATGCTTAAAAATGAGACATATTAAAAGGTTTGGTGCTTTCAAGCACCTTTCTCTCCATCCCCTTTTCTCAGCTTCCCCCTCATCCCCCCCTTCCAACTCGGCCTCCCAGTCAGCCGTGTGAAAGTGGTGAAAGTGATCTATCCTCAAATGTGAAGTCCCGTAGCACAGTGGTCGGTGATCGCCTCACAAGCGAGAGGACCTGGATTCAATTCCTGTGCAGGGCGAAACCTTAGGCAAGTTTCCTTACTCCACATGCCACTGCTTACCTAGCAATAAATAGGAACCCGGTTGTTAGTCCATTGACAGATCGGGTTCCGTTGCAATCTACACCCATGTGGAATTTCTCATCCATTGGTATTGCATTCAGTCAACAAATGGATTCAGTCAACTGAGACTCAATCCATATCTGCTGTTACAATTGCTCACAAGCTGTCATAATGCAGGCAGCTAATCTGTGTCAGCTATGCCCCACAAAACAACAATGAAATGAATGGCTGACTCATCTTTTTAAATGAGGGAGGATGTGAACGTAATCATGGTTTAATTATTCAAGTATGCTTCAGGCAATGGTGTGAAGTTCAATTAAATATTAAAGTTTTTAATATTTGCTTGTTTTTTTTGCTTATACCAATCTTACGAAACAACAATTTAATTATTACAGGAGGTGGGTTGTTTGCCAGGACACTGCCGAGAACCTTCCTTCCCTTTTCGAATAGTACCGTGGGATTTTTAATGTCCACCTGAAAAGGCAAACATGTCATATATAAATATGTAGGGACTGGTGGCTTGAAGAATGAACCATATGCATGTTACACAAGGTACAAGCCTGTGATGCTTATGAGTTATGTATCTAGATGGCATCTGAGATCCCAGTTCTCTGTATACCCCGGGGGGATATGTAATGAACCATGATGATGGTAGGTGTAGTTGTATCTTTTTGTCAGCATTGATGCACAGAGTTTAAGAGGCTGTTTGTGGGATGCTCCAGAGAGCTGGTACATTAGGAAGTCAGGGCGGAAGATAAATTGCTATAGGCTTGGGCAATTATCTACTGTTAAATACTGGGCAATTGACGGGGATCCTCTATTATAAATCACTGTTTGATCTTTCGATCCCTGAGAAACTTAAAAAATACACAGGTTTGC